CTTCGGACCAAATTGAGCTTCTTAGCTGCAGTGTCGGTAGAATAACTTGGAAGAGGAGTACACCACTTGACTTATTCGTAAAATGAACGAAATTGGGTCTGGCTAAATGAGTGCGAAGGCTCGTCTCCAACGCGCAATTGGCAGTGAGTGGCGTACCCTGCGCAGCGACGGGCCAAGCGACCTGTCCCTGCACGGATGTTCACTGATAGTATTGAAGAATCTCAACCAAAAAGTTCCATTTCTCTGACAGGAGTGACCAAAAAAAAGCAACTGTCAGCGAGAAACCCAGTGTAGAACGGGCATTTGTGATTTCGAAGCAGGGCTTTTACGTGCCCTCAAAGCAAGCTTTTGCTGAGTGAGTGCTGTTGCTTACTGCTGTGTTGAGCCATTGCTAATTTACATGTGCGCGCTACGCTACCGCATGCAGTGCACGCCGCGTCTCGGCGATCAAATACAGCGGTGCATGTCTGGCATAGCTTCTTGGCGTACTGTAGTCACCGCACAATAAAGAGTTGGCCAGAGAGTCAGATCCGCAGCTACCGAATTACAGTGGTATTCAGTGACACAGGCCACGTCGTCGATCGTAAGTGTCACTTTATCACCAACATGGACTCAACAGCGTCGGCGCGAAGGCGATGGCTGCATATTTGTGGGCGGCAGACGCGGGCTCTTACCACAGCAATAATACCCTGAAAAGGAGAGCGCTGCCACCCGCCACATATGAATACCTGGCTCAGTGGGCTGGGCTCCACCGCGATTTGATCGGGTTCACGTCACGGCAGTGCGGCACGTGTCTGTCAACCACTTCACAGGACCTTCGTACGGTACTATTACCTTCAACGTGTCTGCGAGGGAATGAAGCGATGGCATGCAAGAAAGGGGAGATGATTTCGACCAGCCTTTGCTGGATTTCATGCATGCCATCCGCCGTCGTGTCGCCATCGCTTCGATATTCATTGGCGAACGCTGCCGTCGCGAAGGTTTGGCGTTGGAGGCAAATGCAAGACATGTACTTCCAAGCTCCTTCATTTAACTTTTTAGATGTACGCAAAACTTCCGGTGCACCTTCAGCAATATACACTTGTCCTCATTTTACTCGTGATAGTCGTCCCAATCGTCCCACGTCGCGCAGTGAGTGCAAATTCGTTTACTGCAAATGCTCGACCACCAGCACAAACACGAGCTTTAAACGCCGCACACAAATCCAGTGGCTGTCACCCCCACTGCCCAAGCGCTGACCATACTGCGTTACAGTTTGCGCACTTTGTCGCTAACCTATCGTTTTTTGATATGAGTACATGTTGTTGCTCGAGCCAACAGCAGCAATGCCAGCTCTGATGACGAGGAGCGCGATCTTCTGCGGGGCCAGTCTCTGTAAGCCACGCTGCCAACACGATGTGTTGCATCTGGCGACTTGCCCCGGCTCCGCCATTAGCTCACGGTGTGTGATGAGGAGACTTCTCCTCCCAAAAGAAGACGAGGGAGACGCCCGCTGGTCTCGCGTGCTCGCGTTATGGCAGCTGGACCTGTGGAGCACTGTTTCATCTCGTCGCGAGGCGACACCACGCTGCATGCGCTGATTGCTGGCTCCACGTCGGTCGTGGTTTCACGGCGTCCTCGCAGTGCTGCAATGGATTTTTGCTCAGCATGAGGCGAGCGTAGGATAAGGGGGCGGAAGATAGCGTGGCAACGCTGCCTGGTCACGCTTGCAGTGTTGGCCGGTCTATTGGCGTCGAGAACAGTGGGATTCTCGCCAAGATGTCCGAGTCGCCACGATGCTACGAGTGCCCCAAGCCAGATCAAAAGCTTGGTGCGGCACGCACAACTCGCGCCTCTCCACCGGACAGCATGGGAAATGACCGGGAAACGCACAACACGGCCTTCATTTCGTTGATAAATAAGCAAGCTCCTAACGCTACTACGACACTAAGAAATCTGCATGGCAGCCTTGTACTCTCGCACTTCACGCTCGCGCTGTTCAGCTTGCAGTCGCAGTTCTTCCTGCCACTTCTTCTCTTGCTCGGCAACTTCGGCACTGTGTACGCGGTGATACGTGGACGAGATCGGGATGTCATCGGCACTCTGGGAAAGTTTCTGCGGCGGTGGAGACGGAGGTGACTGCACGGGCACTGCTCTTTCTGGACTACGTACATGTACTAGCACTTCGTCCAGTTTGGTGTCATCCTTTCCCAGTAGCGCAGGCTCGTCATCTTCAGGCTGTGGCTCCTCATCATCCGACTTTTCCTTTTCGTTGTCGCAGTCCATGTGCATGTCTTCCACTGCATTGTCGATTACTATCGGCTTCACTTGATCAACGCTCACTGTAGGTGGCTCGATAGTGGCAACTTCAGGCGTCGTGGCAGTGCGTTCCTTGCCCGGAGTCGGCTTGGATGAGCAGCATCCCATAGTGAGTGAGTGTCTTTACCTCGAGGGCTTGGAGCTCAATGAAGCGGTGCAAAGGAAATTGAGTACTGTCTCGAGTCAACGTAGAGCTCAATTAGAGCTCTTCGAGGACTAACAACGTCCTCCGAATCAGACGACTAAGATCGAATGGCTACATTATTGTGCAAAACACAATTAACCTATTCAAATGCATTTAGGTGTCCTGTCAAATATCACCAACTTCAACTTGACCCTCTTACTCGCCTAGGAAGAGTGCCACGCCTGCGAGCACCCAGCGAGCTCGATCACCTGCAATAGGCACTGATATCTCCACCAGCATTCTCTCGCGATCTGTGGCGTAATATAGCGGGGTCTTGATGCAGTTCTCCTTCTCGTACATTTCCTGAGCGTCTTCGCGTACAAATGCCACATAACAGGACGGTACAGCGACCAATTCCTGGGCATCTGACACCGCCTCAAGCAGTGTACCCCCTTCAAACGAAGCCCCTTGCAACAGCAGCCTTGTCAGTTCGAACCACTCCACTTTCGTACCGCTGAGACGGTCGCGTTCCCAGCAGGAGAGCAGCTTCATCCCGTCCATCGAGCACTTCTGTTCACGTGCGCTCTGTTGCCGAAGAGCATTGAGGAATGTGCCAGGATGCAGCAACTCCGACAGATCCAGACCTTTCGTCAGCAATTGACCACTGCCCACAGCCTCCTGCCATTCAGATAAAGCGCGTTTACGCATGGCAAGTCCGCGTAGCCAAGTGCCAACGTTCTCGCTGCCCTCCCATTGAGTAGCCCACTCCGTTGGAACTACACCCTTCAGCAAAGCCTTAGCCACAGTCTGGATGGCTGGAGTTAGTAGCCCAGTGCCGTAAATCACCTTCTTCAACGCCTGTAGACTCGTATTCACTTGTTGAACCAGATCCAACGCGTAGTCGTTCTCCAAAGCTACAAAGGCGTCCGCTGGTGCCATGGCTTGCAGGTTCTTGCCAGTACTAGAAGACAAAGAGGTTCCTTCCAGTTGGAAACCCGTTGTGAGCTTCCCCCACGTCTCCAACAACGGACCAAGCTGTGCTCGCCACTTCTCTCGGTCGAAGGTAGTGGCTTCAGCCTCACTCGATGATAGAGCCTTCAACTGAGCGATCACTTGACCGGATAAAGAGCGCTGCATGGATCGCTCAATGTTATCCGGTAACCCAAACATGGCGGGGGCATCGACGTCTGGAAAGCGATCGATAATATCGAGAAAATCAACATGTTGTGTGCTTTGAGGCAACTTGACTCCACGTATCAGACTCTTCTGTCCCGATAGCAGTTCTTGGCTGAAATACTCAGTTAGATTACAACGGAGTACTCTCAAATCGTACGGGTTATCGATCCGTCCACCATAAATCGCGTTCTCCATTAAACCATGCAGTGTTTGCCAGTCAATACCACCAGATCCACTGGTTTGACAGGCCAGCTCCATGACGTTCGAGCCTGCACGAAAGTCACCGAACGAGAACTCGTAGAACTTGGTCCAACCTTGAGGGATATACGTACGCCTCTCTTGTAGTAGAGCATGGAAGAATGCCAGCAAGAAGAGAAGTTGAGCACGTGCTGGAGTGCCCTTAGCAATGAAGGCGGGGTTCCATGCTGCATAGGTGCGTTGCAGGTTCTTCTTCATGCCTGGAGGACTCTCAAATGTGATCTTCAGACTCTGCTCCAGTAGAACCAACGGGAAAGCATCATGAGGCTCTGTAGTTAACCACAAGCGGAACTTGTGACTAGCGTTAAGGGCACTGAATTCTTTTTCAAGCACCGGAAGCCAAGCGATGACCAGGTGAAGGTTCTGTAGACACAGCCACTCGCCGTGTTCCGCTGTAGATTTGAGTAGATTCAGCGCCTTCTCCTGTTGGCCACCGCCCATAGCGACCTCAAAGTAGTGACCTTTTCCAACCACCGACGTCGCCACTTCTTCCAACTCCTTTGAAGGATCAGCACCTGCCGTTGTTAGGAGAAGAACTGGCGTCGTATTCGTGGCTTCTTCCGTTCCAATGACCTTAAAGTCAAGTGACGGTGGAGTCAGCGACTTAAGCTGCATAACGCCACAGATAAACTGGATAATAGCGCTTTGCAGTCGGTCCGGACGTAGAGCTTGGACAACAAGGAGCTTCTGGAAGGCAGATAATCCTCCAGCAGACCCCGATTTGTCCATTTTCGGGTGGAAATTCTGCTCACACTCCATCGATTTGGACCATCGGATCCACATATCGTGACTCTCAAACTTACACAACTGAGCCAAACGTGGCAGCGCTTCAACAAACTGCGTAAACGCCTCTTTTCGCTCAGGTGAAGCCCATTCCGGCAGCGTCGTGTGTCCTCCTGACCCTCTTTCAATCTCCACTACTTCACCACAGAAAAACTCGTACTCATTCTTCTCGAAGCATTCCGGATGCATCCCATGCACTAAGTGCATCCCAAACATCGGTCGGTGCTCTTTAAAGAGCGCTCGGCCCACAAACATGAGGACTTTGTGCTCCAGAATAGGGATCAAGCGTAAAATACGGTCTTTGGTGCTGGAAGACTCCATTTTCGTTGCCAACGTGGCTTTAAAAAGTCCCAAGAACGAGGCCAATGAGAAGCGATACATGTGGTTCACAGCACTCAGTTGCTTCACTAAGAAGAACATCTTGGCTCCTTCTCGAGCGAAAGGAGAATAAGTGTCACGTTTCTCGTCCAGCTCCTCGGATTTCTTGGCTGATCTCTCCAGTGCGTTCTCAATCTCAGCACTAGTGGCCTTAGTCTTCGTAAGAGACTCAACTAGCATGGTATTCTCTAGAATATCACCTTCAGAAGTTGCAAGGGCCTCGACGAGCTGTTTCTCCAAAGCTGCGAGCTGCACTTTACACTCTTCTTCTTGTCGAAGAAGTTCGCTCTTCTCTTGTTCCAGTTCAGGTTGTTCATGTTGAATAGTGACGCCAAGAAGCTGTCCTTCTAGCCCAGACTTTGTAACTGTAAAGTTGACTACATTAACGATTGCCAGCGCGTCAGGAGCGAGCGGAGGTGACGGGTTTCGAGTCACCAGATACAGTCGGAAGTTCTCGTTGTAGTCGATCACCTTGTCGCCTAATGCGACTACAAACCGCGGGCCTTGATGGATCAAATCCTTGCGAACTAGTGGATACAGATAGGGCTCGACATTGTCAACCTCTAGGATAACCAGAGTCTTTCCAAAGCGTACAGCTTGTTCCACTAGATTCACAAATCGAGCGTCTTGTGACTGAACAATCGACAGCGGGCGAGTCGTGTCTTTGGCCAGTTCAGCTTGCAACCACGTAGTACTAGCACTAGCCGGGTCAATGATAAACGGACAGCGTTCACCGCTTGAATTCGATACAATCAGAGCATTCTCCATTGACAGATTATCTGAAGGAAGTCCCATACTTTTCCACGTTAAGAGTTCACTCTCCGTACTCAGTAATTTGCGGTAATCGAAGTGTAAACTGCTTGCTGGGCCAGTAGGATTGATGCTCTCCAGTATATCGCGCTCCCATTCTTTAACTACCCGTTTACGGGCGTCTTCTGAGCATTTACCGAGGAACGTTGTGAAGGCCGAAGCCAGTAACATACGTACCGGTAAGTCGGTAAGACGGTTCTCCAGCTCCTTTACTTGTTCCGACCAGCGATGCTTCTCACCGCCGAGCTTACCAAGCAAGCCTTGCGCTTTGTTTAATGTACTTTGAGCCTGTTCCAGATTGACGCGTAAGATCTCAGCTTCTTTGGTTTTCTCTCCAAACTGCACCTTCATCTGATCCACCGTGATATCGATCTTCTTCAACTCACTTTCACATTGTAGGAGGCGTTGTTGCGAGGCTTCAAGTGATCGTTTCGCCTCTGCTAGGTCGGTTTCTAGTGGTTCGATCTTGTTGAGTACCATCGAGTATTTGAGATTGGCCTTCACCCACGTGGCTAACGGCGCAGCAGCTACACTGACGCGGTAGATAGTTTCATGATCAAACGACGATGTTTTACTCTTCACTAGCTTCGTGACTGCTTTAGAGATCTCAGGAGTGATCCGATGAGCATCGTAGTTGAGGATATCCTCCTTTACACCTCGATTGCCCAGGAATTTCTTCATTGAATTCCACGACGTATCCTGAATACCTAGCAGCATAAGCACTGCTGACAGTACGTCGTGGATAGGTTCAGGTGGCATCTTAAGCGATCGGATCTCGTTGAGATTGTCGCTCTTGATATTACCCACGGCTTCCATCGCAGTTTGTAGAATAGGCGTGATCTCGCTCAATTCCTGTTCGATCTCTCGCTTACGAGCATTTGTAGCAGTCTCGGCTTTTGCGAGCTGCTTCTTGAGGTCTTCAACCTCACGTCGGTTAGTAGCAGCGCGGTCTAAAGCGTTCGTGATCTCCTTCATCGCTTCATCAGCTGAGACTTGAGCTGCACTTAAATCTTTCTTCTTTAACACGGCATTGCGACTCAACTCATCCACCGTCACACTCGCTTCTTCCAACTTGCTTAAACCGCTCTTAAGGTGACGAATCTCCTGTACAATCTGCTTACATTTGGCTTCAAACAGCGTGCGCCAGGTGTTTAGAAAGCAGATAAATTCGCGTGGTGTGGCGCCGAACTCCTTACAACTAGCGTATAGACTCGTAATTAGGGGTGTTGTTTTAATCAGACTGTCAACCAATTCGGAGCCGCTTAGTAGCAACTCTGGAAGGCGAGCCATGCTGCTGCTGTTCCATTCACCCATCCAGACGATAGCACAGCGAGTGTAGAGCGCTGGGTTACTCTCACATCGCAGCACAAACTGCGGGTTACGAGCATCCATCCCAAGCACCACATGCACAAACTGTCGAACTCTTGACACGAAGAAGTCGTACACTGTGCGGATATGTTCCTGTCCAGTAGCTCCGATACTTTCCAGCATAAGTTCCTTAAGAGGAGCGATCTGCGGCTCAATCTCCTCGTGTGTGTACAATCCAGGTACTTCACCTGAACTTAGTAACGAATTGGTGAGTTCCAAGATGGCATCTTGGGTAAAGTGATGGTCTTCCAAATACAAGACGTAGTGCTGTCCTTCCACTCCCGCTTTTACCAATAAACTCTTAAGGTCAGTACGGAAGCTACCGGCGTCGTAATTTCGAGTAATACTAGGCGAGAACATCGTGTAGTTTAGCATATACGAGATCAGTGTAGTAGCCGATCGTCGACCGACTCCAGAGTTGCCTACCAGCAGCATCGAGCCTCCAGGTTCCGATAGAACTCGCTCTACGATCGTCAAATGTTCGAGTATTTCGTCAAACAGCAACATGTGTAGATCCTTCTCTTCACGTTCGTATAGTACCATCCCTTGCGTCACAACTTGAGAGAACTCGTCACTAGCGATCCTCTGTAACGGTGCTGTCATTGTAGTGTTCCCAGCTTCAGTAGATCGACAATGCAGCGAGCTGAAATACACATCCTGTAACTTTGCAGCGTGACGCCATTGCTGCTTCCAAACACTGTTCAGAATCCCGTCGAACTTAGCTTTGGTTTCGTTATCCACTAACCGATCACGGAATAGTCGACGAGCTTCATGTGCCAGTGCATCCAGCACATCTTCGTGTTCCAGATCATATCGTACCAATGCGAAGATCCACTTGGTTAGATCTCGAGGTGTAAAGAGGTAGTGACGTTGTTCATCCACTGAGAACTTGGTTTTCACTGTATCGTACACTTCGACCATACTTTTAGCTAGTCGATCACGGTTCGCGGGATCTCGCCACGTAGCTGGTAGATTGGGCGTGTTAGACGAGTCAAAGACCCCTTCTAAAAAGGTAGAGTACACTACTGATAGCTCTTCTGTTGAGGGGTAGTCCATGTACGCAACCTTGACGATCGCAGTGAACCGAGTGGATAGTGGATGTCTCCCTACTGTGGTCGCTGCGTTCATGGATGCAACGAGTTGGATCTTCTCGACTCCGAGGAACTCCAAGTGCTGGTCGTAGAAGCCGTTGAACGTGATCAATTGTTGAAGAAAAGCGATCAACATGCACGTGTCGTACTGGTCTGGTTTGGGTAAGTTGATGTCCTTAAGATAAAGCACAAGACGTTCAGCATCTCGAGGACGGTAGACTCGACCTGTGGGAGTGGAAAATAGTGAACAACACTGCGCGATCTTGTGGATAACGTGGTCAGCGGTGGTCTGTGCGTTGCAATGTAGAACGGAGACTGTGACGCTCTTGAGGTTCTTAAAAGCTTGACGAATCAACATGTTCTTGCCGCTCCCTTCCGGTCCGACGAGGATGAACGGCTCCATCTTGTCTACCCACGGTTCAATGAGTTTAAGTCCTCGTTGCACACTAACAGTCGGTACAACTGCATCCATTCCATTAACCACCAAGTCTTTACGATCCATTTTACCGTCCATAGCCCCGTAAGTATCACGCTTAGTTTCATAAGTGTAAAAAGTGGAGCTTTGACAGTAACAGTCCAGCGGGTTATTCACATCAGGTGGTCGTTCATTCGCCATCATAAAGAGCGATTTCGCGAACGACGCGCGTGATCCCATCGCCAAGTTCGCACCCAAGCCACGGATCATCGCACAGACGAATTCTGACCGGGTTGTAGCTGTAGCGACGTGACTCAACCCGTTCATAATAGTCCCGACTGTCGTAGTAGCTACAATCGCTTCATACTTGTGTAATTCCTCCAAACCTCTAGTAAACAACTCGTCGATCCATTGTTTCAATGCGTCTCGAGTGTTACTGGTACTTGGATCGGAAGCAGGTGGAAGAGTGAGTAGCCATTTACTCACAAGACGTTCAATCGCCATGTCTTCGTCCGAGAGGAAGATCATCCCCATTCGAGAAATAGTAGCTGGCGAAGCGAACCGTAAATCGTGCGTCTCGAACACGAAATTAACGTTTGGACCGAAGTTAATACGCTCACCGTTCGGTAAAGTAAGTAGATGATTGTCGTCCAATACAGAGTTCAATGACTCGATCCACTCTGGATCCACATCACCGTCACAAATAATCCATGAACGAACGTTCTCGGGCTCTTTAACCACTTGTCTAGCGGCTGCAGTGAGTACTCCGTCCTCCCATTCTCGAGTATCCAGATCCATGTGGCCTAGTAAACGTTCGCGTGGCATGGATTTGGGATTCATCACGTGGGTTTTAACAAGCTGGCCACATCGAATTAACGCTTGCTGTAGTACCTGCCACACGGTAGATTTGCCACTACCCGAAGGCCCCACTACCACACACCCCATGCGTTGATCTAGTGACTCTTTAAGCTGAAGCATTTTGCGGATCTGTAAGTCATCCACTTGTAGGAAGAACGGCTTGCTAGTCATAACGTCACGGATAGCGTCACCCAAAGCACCTCCAGCCAAGTCAGCGGACTCCACACCAGGGAAAACATCTCCGATTAACGCTAAGAATCGAGTTGAGTCCACGAACGTGAGCTTCGATAGGGTGTTAATACGCACAGCTTTGATAAGGATCTCGGTCTCCTCTGCTGTCGTCATCCTTACAGGTTTATCTGGTTCTTTAGATTCTTCACTAGATTTTCCAGCTGTAGCTCGGTCTTTCTTTTCAGCTTGTAAGAGCTTCCCCGCTGTGTTTAAAACTGCTTTTAGTGCTCGTAAACCCCAGTCGTAATGCTGTTGACGCGATAGTAGTTGTCCAGATAGAGAATACAGCGACACCACCTTAGACGCGATGTCTTTGGCTTCGCTGAACCCCTCGGAATACAGGATAACCTCTGCGATAAGGTTGTTATCCGGTCGACCCATAGCAACAGGACGGAAGAGTGCTTTAAGATTATCCGGAAGCTTCGATCGTCCACCGTAACCTTTTCCAGCAGGATTGAGCGTCACGAAGATACCAGCGTTAAAATCCACATTCACCGACCTATTTAACAGGTTAATAGTCCCTGTTTTCTCCTTGATGGCGTCTTGAATAACCTGAATCTGTTGAGAAATAGCTGACAGCTGGTCTTCTTTCAGTCGATTGAACTCATCAAAGCAGCCCCAGGCTCCGCACTTCACTAAACCAATGAAAATCCGACCCATAGACTGGAAATCAATGCCTTCATCGCAATTGAAAACCAGTACTTGGCGTCCAAATTGACCTCCCAATGCCTTAACCGACTCCGTTTTACCAGTACCTGCAGGACCGTACGGATTGCCACCGAAACCCATGTGCATCCCTTGAGTAAGCGTTAAATAACACTTATCTGTTAACGGAGTATGTACCAACTTCGGTGCGTTACCCTGGTATTCGTACGTATAAGCGAATTCAGCGTCGTTCATACGGATTAAACATGGCGGAGGGTCTTTACCAGATTTTCTGGTATCCAGATAAAAGCGAAGCTGCTTCTGCCAGATCCAATCGCTAATTGAACGACAATTATCAGCTAAGAGTTGATCGCAAACGTCGATATGGTGCACCAAATCAAGCACCAACGCCTTAACTTTAAGACTCATCAACAACTCGGTACTTAAATCCAACGACGTCAGTTCACGTAGTGTATCTTGTAAATTTCGTTTGAGCTCTTGTACACCACCATTCTTTATCGCCGCTTCGGCTTGAGAACAGAAGCGGATCTGCTCGGTTAGACACAACACTTGAGAGGGGTATGCGTGGTAGTCTGGAGCGTTAGCGTTGACACATTGAGCGGTAAGAGCTCGGATAGTACGGCGCATTTCTTCCGTGAAAGTCTCGAGCCATTCCTCCACGTTGCTGGTGACAGCTACAGGCGAGTGAAGCTCCACGCGTTCACCTGCGGCACTCAACATGGCTACAATTTGGTCTTGTTTTTCTGAAAATTCTACGCGATACACTCCTTGGTAGAGTTTTTTCAGATGACTCTGAATCACCGCTGGATTTTGAGCTTGTCCTAGAATTTCCAACAGGTCTTCGTCTCCAATGAAGTAGAATCGAGGCATCCGAGAACGTTTTTCCTCTAAGAAATCAGCCAACGCCTTCTGACAACGCTCCAGTTGGTCAACCATAGTGGTTAACCTCTCTACTAGTTGAGGAAACATCAATTCGTCCGCCAAGTTAAAGAGTTTTGGGTCTCTTTCGACTGACCCCATAATGTCCGTAAATTCTTCATCCACTCGACGGAATCGACTCTGTTCAGAAGGTAAAGCTCCTTTAGAAAAAATGGGTTCAAGGAAGACCCATTTGCGCTGAATAATGTTTAAATGAGTCAACACTTGATCCAATGTGCTCATTTTGATCTCGTATTGACTCGCTTCCACCTCAAATGGCTTGAAAAACTGCGATTCTTTCAGTGAAGCGAGTAGCGATTGGTTATCACCGAGTGCCAGTGTCAAGTCCTTCCAGTCTTTAATGATAGCCACACGTCTTCCGTCGTGTTCGTGTGCTAGTAAAGCGAGTTCAGCAGTCTCCGTCCAGGCACGGAGCTCCTGTAGCGCATCTCTAATCGTCACTTCGCCTTGTGCTCGAGCGTGAAGCACCTTAACGAACTGCAGAGTAGCAGGCAATTCCAGTACTGGAAATACGTCGATAAAGTGCTGAACGATCAGGTTATTCTTCTCAACACCGCGAGGGAAGCCAAGCTTTCGGAAGAGTTGCGTCCAGTGATCATCTTTAAAAGGTTCTCCACGACAGAGCTTGAGAGTGGGCATAGCTCTCTTTACGTTCATATTAAAGTCCACAATCTTGTCCACTACCGGCGTACGTTCTGACCCCTGAGCTGCTTGTTCTTTCACTGCATCAGCCCACTTTTGAGCGGTATCAGCCAGTGCGAACATGTTGGTACAGAAGGCGAACCAATCTTGAGCAGCCAGAGCCTGTACTTCCTCTCTAAATTGACGATACGTGTCCCAATTACACTGTAACTTTGTGATATCATCGTCCAATGCTGCCAGCCCGTCGAAAACCGGTTCATTCATTGAAAACGCCGCACAGTTCGAGGTTAAAGTTACACATCGAGTCTTTAATTCGTCCATGCGTTGACGCCATTCCGTCATAGCTGCGTATACCTTAACCAGCGCTTCATCTTCCCATGATTGTACCTCCACTGGACGCTTAGCGCGCCATTGTTCGCGTAATTTATCTATATCAACGTTACATTCCACCACGTGTGCTTCGATCTCGCCCTTAAGACTCTCTCTTTGCTCGTCGATCATGTCGTTAAAGGCTTCTAGAGCGATCTCGAAGTTTTCCCAGCGTGTTGGGAGTTGAGAGAGACGTGTTTCCACTTCACTAGTATCGAGACTCGCTCCACTCATACCGGCACTACTGCCGCCTCCAAGCACTGCAAGTAGCAGTGTTTTCTTCTTCTCTGCCTTCTGGAAATGAGCATGGACGTCATTCTTACGAGCGTCGATGTCCTTCCACTCTAATTGAGCAGCGCTAATTTCATCAATAGAGTGTGGACGCTTATTTAGGGTGTCCATTGATGCATCGACGAAATCTTCCACTATCCGGATATGGTTTAGAGTACTCTTACGTAACGATAACAGTAACGCGTCTGTAAACCGCTGCATGTGTTCATCCAAGGAACGTTTAAACGGAACAAAGGACAAGTGAATACAGTCGACTTTCACCGCATCCGGGATCTTCTCGCTCTCTTTCCGCTTCGTACGGATCGTCTTAAAGTTGATCTCCCAGTCCGCTGGTTCCTGTAGTGTGGACTCCATAATGGCGTCCAAGTCGACAGTCCCACCGCCTCCAATTCGAGCGAGAAAACCCCAATGCTCATACTCATACAATAACCCTTCTAATCGTGTGAATAACCGCTCACACGCTTCATACACACGTACAAGATTCCGTGCATTGGCGTCACACATGGCCGAAAACACGTGAGGGTTCGCAAACCCTCCAAATTTTGTGGGTCTAGCCACAAACTTCTTCATCGCCTTGTAGTAAGTCGTACGCAGCTCTTCAATCGGAGGTTTTAACACTAGAATGGTGCCTCCAGAAGCCGATGAAGTCATCGCAGATGCTGTGGGGAAATGCAACTCGGTTTTGATCTCCTTGATCTCTGGTAAATTTTCGTTTAGCATCTCTAAACCAAGTTGGTAGCCAGATTCTAGCACTTTATACAGTTGATGGTCCCAGTACAGGAACCACTTGGCTGTACGTGCAGAGTCTTGTTTCCGTGTAGTCAACTGCGCGTTCTTCTTGATCTCATCCCAACGCTCTTTCCACTTCTGCGGGTAGCGTAGTAAATCCACATCCATGAGAGCTAGAAGCTCCTCTCCAAGTTTCTCGTGAGCGCGTTTAAAGCGTCGATTCTCGGCTGCCAGTCGGTCTGCTGCTGTCTGAAGTTGACTCACGTACTCATCACATTCGTCCAGATTCGCCCACGTCACGTCCTTACTCTTGGTTTTCTGGTTGTTGCTTTGAGCGATACCAGGTCGCTGTACTGCGTCTTCAAACGCTAGCAAAGAGTCCAGCAGCATAGGTTTCTGTTCGTCGATAATCTGCGCTTCGATGCTATTGTAAAAGTTGGCTACTTTCTGCAATGTCACTCCAAAACGGTAATATTTCTCTGCTTCCTCAGCCACTTGACGTACTCGAGTGGGTACCCACGCTTCACTTTGTGCTGGCTGTTGTGAGGATAGTTCAGTGAGTTGACGCACGTCACGTAGCAAAGTCACGAGAAATTCACTGAAGTTCACCACTAAATCTCCACTTTGCTTGTCGATCTGCATGAGTCTACCTCGAAGACGTAGCGATTGGCCTCCGTTGTTGTCGTCGTCGTCATCTAACGCTCGTATCATTGATTCCTGCCAGTCACGCACTCGATCAAGTACTAGGCCATTGGCTTTAGCCGCGAGTTTATCACACTGTTGTGATAACCGAGGAAGAGCTGGTAAGTCTGTTAAGACACCACGTGCAAGACGTTGCGTGTCTGCTACGCGTCGACCCAGAGCGTGTGCCCAGACGATGACGTTGACGTCGCTACTCAACGTTTTACCGACGTGCATACCGCTCTTCTCTCTCGCCCCGGTACTAGAGCTAAGATACTGCTTTCGAGTCTCAAAGTCACTGTCCAGTTGGTCTACATGCGCCAAAAGTTGAGCAAGAAGAGCGTCACGCTCGCCTGCAAGCGCTTGAGCGAGTGTAGGACGCTGTAAGAGATGCTGGTAGCGCTGTAACATACGTGCAGCCGCACTGGGCTTGGATGTTACAGCTCGAAGACGTTCACGTAAAACCACAGCGACTTGAGTCTCCATGGGAGCTAGAGAGCGATCAAACTCGCTCAATGCACGTTGCCATGCTGGCTCAGTGTACGCATTGTAGTACAGTGGACGTAGTCGCTCGAAAGGCTTGAAACACGACTCTGCTAGCTCATTTTCGCCTCCTCTTGACGGTAGCAAGGCACTAAGCTCTTCATACGTTGTTCGTACTCGTAGAACTTGATCTAGACGAGTGCTGAGTAGTTGGACACGCTGTACTTGAGAGGATACAGATCCTTCCCACGGATGTTCACTATGTGCTGGCCATAGAGTTCCAGTTAGGGACTCGATAGAGTTACGCCATTTCTCGCATAGAGATACACCCTGTTGTAACAAGTGGTGGACTGCATGGAACGGCGCTTGCCACACGTTCCCCTCGGACGCTTTACCATCTCCAGTTAGAGCTTTAGCCTTAGCTAGAACGAATGTGTTGATAGCATTAGTGACAAGTCCCAGAAGATGGTCCATTCTCTTCTGCGGATATAATTGATCCCGTGCCAGATCTAGACGCCACAGATCATCAGCGACGTTCGACGCGTCGTCCAATAGATCAGTCATGTCATCGAAGCTCAAATCTCCTAGTGGAGCGCTGAATCGCTGGTGTACCGTGTCGAAGACAGCACTGAACTTCTTCGCTCTTCTGGCTTGTCTCGAATCGTCCTGCATCGCCTCCCAGTATGCGAACTCGTCGCTCATAGTTGCAATACTCATTAAGCCTTCATCTCCGTCACTTGGTGTAGATTTTGACTTCTTGGCGTCACTGCCGCCTTGTAACAAGACCGTTCCGGCCAAACCGGCGTCTAACTCAAGTAGTACATCCTTGAGCTTTTGGGACAACAGACTGGCACGAGCGTCGTCGCGCAGCAATAGAGGTGCGTACACTTGGTGTACAGTCTGGTAAAGACTCTGCAGTGGCGTCTGTAGCGCCGACGTGAGCTGTACATTCGTACTCATGTTCTCCGGTGTGAGAGGCGTCGCCTTGTGCAGCTTGAGGAAAGCTGCAGTCTCGTCGTTGTTGCCGCCTTCCTCGTCCTGCAACGTGTTGGCTAAGCTGATCTCATCGCTGTCACATGCAAGACGAGCATACAGCACGTTGCACTGCAGATCGTCGAGGAACTGAGTCAATGCTTGCTGCGAAGGCTTGTCCTCGCTCAAACGAGTGTTCCGAGGAGCCCAGAGACCGCGAAGAAGCCCGGCAAGATAACTGTGCCGGGCGTCGCTGTCCGGGTCCATTAGACACTAAGAAAAAGGTATTGGGTCCTCCGTCTGCTTGGGCTCGGTCTGATGGTTGTAAGGTGCTAAGGCGAACTGAGGCTGTGGTGAAGCGGCGCCTTTGCAAGATACTACTGTTTTTTTTTATTATGGTGGGCCATAAGCTATGAGCAGTCAAGGCAAGAACTTTTTTTTCAGAAAAAGTGCTTTATGAGAAAAAGTCAGAATGCTGCTGCCAAATAGCTTATGGCCCACCATAATAAAAAAAAGATCAAAAGTGGGCCGAAACCAATGCGCACTTTTTCGATACAAAGTACTTTTTTGCTGCGTACTTCAACTATAAAATTACAGAGGTGCGTCCTTTCAATATTAAGAATGGAAGGAAGGTGACGAATTGGTGTAGGAGGATCAGTGGAAGCTTTGGAGACCTGTAAGAGTTGGGCGTGTGGGCGATAGCAGTGAGTGTCGAGCTCCACTATTGTGACTGTGTGACTGTGCCTTAGTATGGAGAGAGCACTGTCCGGCCAGCTATACTGAGTTAGTATGTAGTATAGTCTAACTCAGAGGTTTTTTTTTACCGCAAGGTTTTCCTCCTCAATCCCATTCCTGACAACAAGCGTTCCGTGTCTTGACGTGTCGTCTCCTCAATAGCTCTCCTTTCCTGCTGTGCTTTCGCACAGGGCGAGCGAGGAGCTTGTGTGTTGACAGTCGGTCCGAATTAATATTTGCGCGAATATTAATTTCAATTTTAATATTGCAGAAAAGCGCCCTTTCAGTATTAAGTATGAGGTGATCGGAACCGACCAGGGCTTTACGTTCAGAGGAGGATTTAGTGAGCGCTTTGGAGAGCTGTACGCGAGAGTTGGGTGGGTTGTGCTTCGGGTTGGAGTTGCACCAGCTTCAGGACGAAAGGGAAGATCCAGATGAGGACGTCGGCGTAGAACAGGACACGCTTGCTTCATTAGAAGAAATGACGAGTGAATGTTATGCTTT